CCCACATGCGGTTCGAATCCAATCCACATAAAGAATGCTCCTTCACGCTGAAACATGGCTGCGAAAGCACCCGATATCTTGAATATATCTTAAAAGAAAATGTCACATTTTTAATTTTTTTAAAAGTCACCAGTTTTGAGACTTTTCCATCAGCGACTAGTGCAATTTCATAAAATGAAAACGTTCTGTTCGAAAATATTCTTATTCGCATTTAGATGATCTGTTTGCCCAAATAATAAATAAATTAACATAAAACTTGAGTAAATTGTTATCACTGTTTAGATGGAATTTAAGTTTTGTTAATGAATTTAGGTTTTGTTAATTTCTGGTTAAGAATATATCTCATTCAAAATGTGATATTTGACATTAATGCTGATGAAACTAAATTTGTTAATTTAAAATAGGCTCTTCAAGACCCTTATCAGTCGCCTTTGCAATCGTAAATTGTCTCGTTATCACAACACCGCAATTTTTTTCTCAACATTATTTGCAGCTGCAGTTTAAGTCATCCTTCATTCGACTGCTTTTTGTGAATCGAAACATACGTAAATATGTAGGAAAATGCTAAGCCATCCCCCAAAAAATCTTTTTAAGCAGCTGTTGTTGCTATTGTTACAAGTTAAATCGTACAGCAGAAAATATTTTTGAAGTGCCTATTTTAAAGTTATAGACCATACTTTCCGACCACGAGTGTGCTATATAGAAACTGACACTAACACAGAACAGGTTTTCGTTACCAAAAGCATGTGTGTACTCAGATTGCTGCAAAAGCTAGAAAGATCTTAAGAAATATGCCAATAATTTGAAACTGACACTAAACAAAAATGTTAACTAACTTGAAAAGTTTGAAGATTGGTAAAATAAAATTATTCTAATAGGAAAAATCTTGCTTGCTGTTATTTGCTATCTGTTTAGAGACAATGCATTTAGGTGTCTTAAATGAGATGGGCTTATTCACTGTCCAAATCAAGGGACAGATGCTTTCTATTCGAGAAGGCTGCATTTGTAAAGTTATTAAGAACAATTTTTACTTTGTTACATATAATGTAATTTTGACATTATTATTTGGCCAATCAGAGTAGTTAATGGGAGCAGGACATTTTAGATGGCAATTACTCATTTTATTGTACCCATGATTGTTTGGATTACCCTTTTCTAAACGCTGACGTTATATCAGCTACCTAAATGTGTGAAAAGAGAAAGATAGTGTGCTGGGTTCGAAGCCCAAGAAAGATATCTCTAAAACTGCTCACATCAAGCAGAGCTGGTTTTGATTCGATCGGTTTAGTGATCAAATTACAGCGCCGAAATTCACGAGTTCTGTCCTCGGCCAGCAGCATCATCCAACTGGAACAGTGATTTCCACAGGCATTTTCTATGGGCAAGCATTTCCATTATCTATCTGAGCATAACAAAGAGTAATTGGTTCTTACCTCCAATTATAGATGGTGCCACAAATGGGCAAGGTCTAAAAACAACTTAAAGCTACCACACGAAATGGGAACGAAGGAAAGCCTCTTTGCATATCGATATCCTGCTAATGTAAAGTTGTTCCTTAATGAACCTACAGAGAATATAAGTATTGCTCAAATATAATTTTATTTTTATATAAAATAAAATTCTATCTTAGTAAATCTATAGAAAATGTAAATGTTTCGATATCATAGCGACAGGAAGCGAGGACTGGAAAACTGCATTCCAGCAGGCCAGAAAGCGAAGCTAAAGTGCGTAGTATGCAATATGGAAGCACATGAAGAGAAAGGTTTTGGTTCCTAATTATTACGTCATCAGAGCTGCGCAAGCCACATAATGATATAGAAATGACGCAATCCAGAGAAGTTATTACGATTTTTAAAACAGAGAGGTATAATTAATGTTTTACTGTTATTTTAAATTATAATTTTGATTTACATATTTTTTTTATCTTACGTATCCCCCCCTTTCAAAGAGAAAAACATCTTGGCGATAGAAAAACCTTTTTCAGAAACAAGCATTATGGAATTAGCGAAACATGAGAAATGCAATACTGAAGAAAAATCATAAAATTTGATATAAATAAGTTTTTAAAATTAAAAATCTTGTAAATATCATTTTTAACAATAAATTCAAATTGAAAATTCTATTGAAATTTATAAGTTTTCAAGTTCATTTTTATGTAAAACATTGTGAGGAATGTCCTAATTGTTTTTTCAAAAAATGCTGGAAAAGTTTACAGTTCTGTAAAATCTTTGCTTGAATATCAGAATCATTTCAGTTTGCAGTCCTTAGCTTGAAAGTCTTTCATAAAAATTGATGTTGTCAATAAAACTAAAATTTTCTTTTACAGATTCATGAAATTTGAATTAATTATTTATAAAACAATCCACCTTTTCTTAATTGTAAAGCAATGTAAAATGGAATTTAGAACTTAGTGCATAGTAAGTAAAAAATTCAGTACAATAGCAATATAAACTTTGATGAAAATAGGTAAATCTTATGAAAATAGGTTTTTTGAAAATAGGAAAATAGGTAAATCCTCTAAAGTGCAAATCAGTGACAACTTTCTAATGGCTGTGGGATGCTTGAATATAATTGCACATAGAAGCCTCCGTTGCTTAATAAAAGTAACTGTCCTCTAGTATTGTATAATTATCAAAGTTTACATTTATAATTTATGGCCATAAAAATATTCAAACTAGTTAAATGAAATAAAACAAATGTTCAAAAATTAAAGCTATTTTAAATTCTACACTTCCCTACAATAATCATCTGGAACAAATGAAATAATAGAACAAGAAAAAGACGAAGCATCGTCGATGCGTAATACCCAGATTAGATAGTAGATTGCCGATCCATATTGAATAGGAAGAATTCTTATTGCGTAATATGCTAATATGGAAAGTTCGTAATATCTAAATAACTTGGCAGTCGAGGCGGTTTTAATTCCATTTTTTTTTTTTTTTTTTTTTTTTTTGCAACTGACTTTTGTGACCACAATCACTTGGCACTCTCGTAGTGCCTATTCACAGAAGATTCTGGCATGTTATGTAATGACTACTATAAATGTAGAGTTTGCGCCATTTTTCATCAATATTGCTTTTTTCCTCCTGCTGTTGTAAAATTCTTGCTGCCGCTCTTCCTGTCTGTCTGTCTTCGTTGGAATAGTATGACGCAGTAAATTTAAAGTTAATACTATTTGGTTTAAATTACCGTATTTATGCGAATCTAATGCGCATCCCCATTTTAAAAACTTTAAATAATAAAAAAATTGTTCGTCGGCGAATGTAATGCGCATCAATGATATGAGGAATTTATTGAATCTTATTTTATGCAACAATGGATTTGTATATAAACTATCAATTAATGGTATGATAATTTTATTTAAATTTAGATACCATATTTTATACAACAATGGATTTATACATAAAGTAGCAGAACATAGAATTAACCTATTAATGGGCTAGTGTCATGTGAAACAATCATTATTAATTAGCACTACCGTATATACGGTACCTATCGTAAAATGTGAACATGAAATAAATCGTAACATTTCTATCTAGCGGCATGTTTTCCGTTTGAAGGTTAAGAAAGGGGGAAGTTTGCACCCGTCTGCTGTTATTGCCAGAATCACTGTTACGCGTTGTTTTTCACATCCCGAAGTTTTGATGATAACTTCCTTAGTCCCCTTCTCCGTAATGGTGTAGTTACGAGGCATATCATGAACTCTCTCCCTGCCTTTCTATTGCCATTTTTTTCAGCATAAAGAATTACTTTACGTTTGAAAGTAGCGTCATATGACATTCTTCTCTGTTTGCCCTCCATTTCGTGACTACGTACTCTGCAGTTTGTATCCTCTATGCAATAATGTGTCAACGATAAATGTAACGGTAAATGCAGTCGAGAAATTTGGTTGACGTCATCGGCGAACTTTGCACTCGAATCTAATGCGCCATCGAATCTAATGCGCACCCCAATTTTGAATACTACATTTGGCCAAAAACGATGCGCATTAGATTCGCGTAAATACGGTACTATTGCGTGTGCAATCTTGGAGAATCTAAAAGAATAATGATTTGCCATTTGAATTGAATAAAGATGTGGAATCAGAACAGCTAACTTCTTCTGTGTCATCATTTCACGCCAAGCTTCATTCATGTGCCCTACTGCCAAAATATTGCATGTATATATATATATATATATATATATATATATATACATGCAATATTTAATATCCGTATATATATATATTATGTATATATATATACGGATACTATTAAAATCAAAAATTAAATCAAGGAAAGGGCTGGAAGTCTAACAAACACATGAAATTTGGAACAAAATCAATTCAATAAGATGAAATAACACAGTAAAATTGGTATAATGCAACATAATAAAGTTAATATAAAAATTGTTAAAAATCCCTTGGTCATTTTCCAGGAGCAGCTGAAACAGTTTCAATAGAGCCACGTCTTAGAATTATATCTAAATGACTGTAAATTCTTAAAATAACAAAAACAAAACCCGGAAAGTTACAAAAAAAATCAATTAAACGATAATTATTAATTTAAAGTCTTTTAAATGTGCAAGAAAGTAAAAATTTAAGAAAATAATTTTTAATTTCAACTTGTCATTAAAACATAATCTGCTCCGAGTGATCTTAAAACTAAATTTCCTACAAAAATAAAAAGTTTAAAAAGAATTCTAGAGTTACAATTTAGGATAACCATTGGGTAATTTAAAGCAATATGCAAAATAAATATTAAATAAAGTTCGACCACTGGAAAAGCAGAATTTCTAAAAAATGGTTTTGTAAATCAAAAGCAACTATTTCCAACCAAAATAAAAATATTTCAAGGCAAAAATGTTTGTGGAAAAGAATTTATATTCGCTCAATTCCAAATTACTGTATAAATTACGCATGTTGACAAACTCTCAATTTTATGCTTGATAACAGCAATATTTAAAAAATAATTTATTAAGAAACGTCTTAATGATAACAGAACTTATATGTTTGGACTTACATGAAGCTGGTGGGCTGATTTTCCCTATTGTTCTTATTTGCTGACAATGTTGCCACATGAGCAAAAGTGGATTTTTTGTACCGTACGCTGGAATATTCTCGTAACGTTTGGTAGACTTGTACAACCAAATCTGAGTTGCTACAACAATGCTAATACATATCACCATCACTGCGCCCAGCAACAGCTTTAATGAAATTAACATCATTTCCATGCTGCAGAAAGAAGTTTATCTTACAGTTTGTCTAATACTTTTATATGAACTTTAAACATTTAACCAAGACGTAACCATTAAGTCAAATGCATGCAAACAAAAGTTAATGGTTAGTATTTGAATATCCCATCACCCCGGAAGAGCAGTTGTCCAAGACTGTCAAAACAGAGTCAAGACAGACAATAAGAGTTAAGAAAAACAGAGTGATGGGATAAAGTAATGACGGAAGGAGATGAAGAAACTCATCGTTGGTGAGACTGTCGAGACCTCCCAACAATGAGATGATGGAATGAAGTGTTGATTTCATCATCATCAAATTGAAGATCTTTTGAGAGATAGGAATGAAGTGTTGTAATTGAAGAGGTTGACACTGAATTAGGATTAAGAGGAAAACCTTATTGATACGCTTCATTTCGTTTGATGCCTTCTTGCATCAAACGACTTGCGTGTGATTATTGTGTTACTATGTTTCTAAAGCAGTGCGTTTGATGTAATGAGGAAGGAAAGGTTAGATCAAAGATGTGTGATTGCAGTTATAAAAAGAGAAAATGATTTAATTAAAATTCATGAATCGAGTTTTATTTGAGAAGGTTGATTTTAGTTGGGTGGTCTGGGAAAGGATTTTACTGAAAAATCGCAGGATTATATTTGGTGCCAATTTCAGCGTCGGTGGGCCTCGCAAAAAATTTTCAGCCTCCTAATATCCTGCATTGCTAAATTAAGGAAGAGATGGGCATTTTTCTCTTAGGAAAGTTAGATCAAGGTTGAGATATTAAGGGGAAAAGCAGTATTTTATGAAATAAGTATTTTGAAAGGTTTTAGTAAAATGACTTGGGAAACTCATTTTGCGCAGAATTATAGGATACTGAATGCAATGCTTGAGTAATTTACGGAAATATGCTTGAGTGAACATCCTGTAAACGTACAAGGAGAGACTTGCCGCCGTAAAACTATAATTTGATTATTAGATTTGAAGCAGTGCGGTTGGTTTTATGATTCCTCTCAGGATTACTATGGGACTTCCCAATGGTGAGTGCAAAAAAATTATTTTTCCCCTTATTGTTTTTTTTTATTTCAAATACTTTCTCTGTAATTTCTGTGAGGTATATTATCGAATCCGATTTATTGGTATCCCCCACCTCTGCATGACCAATACAATGATTTACCGCCAGCACCGGAGCACTGTGAACTCACATTTGACAACATTAAAAAAACCTACATCGTTCATTATTTAAATCTAAAGTTTAACATAGAACAAGATTTAATAATCAAGAAAATTCATAGAACGTTAGCTTTCAAGCAGCAACCGTGGCTTAAAGAATACATTGCTTTCAATAACACGAAAAGACAAAATACGTCTAGCGAAACTGAAAAATCTTTCTTTAAAAAGATGAAAAACACTTTCTATGGAAAAACTTACCAAAATGCTAAAAAGCGTATTCGCGTACAGGGCGTTTTTAGCGAAGAACAATGTAAAAAATAATTAACCAGTCCTTTGCTGGAATATTTTAAAATAATTAATGAAAATGTTTCAGTTTTCAAAATGAAAAATCCAAAACTGTGTCTAGATGAACCATTTTATATAGGTTTCAGCGTTTTAGAGTTTGCGAATTTGCACATGTATAAATTATTCTATTCCCATTTTTAAACCTTTTACAAGTAAAAATGCAAGTTGTTATATACAGATTCTTTGTGTCTCTATAAAACAAATGAAGATGTGATTTAGAAAGGAATTTTTTAAATATTTTCGACTGTTGTAATTTCGAAAACAATCACATAATGTTTAATGAAAACTGGGATTTCTAAAAGGTAAGACAATCACCACTATATCGGAACTTGTAGGTGTGAAATGCAAAATGCATGTATTTCGTTTTGGTGATACTGTTAAAAAGACCGCAAAAGAAAGAAAAAAAGAACACACTTAGAAACATTGGATTTGAAACGTGAAAAACGTTCTTGAGATGATTCGCTGATTAGGAATTCTCAATATTCGATCATTTCAAAAAAGCACAAAATGAAACCATTTTCAAAATAAGACTAGACTCGGGATATTACGATAAAAAAATTGCTAGATAATGAAATTAAATTCAGCATTGTCTTATGGTCACTATAATACGTGCGAAAAAGGCATTAATTAAAAAAATGTAACTTTTTTGTAATATTTTATTCTATAGTGTGACAATGCTTGTTTTTGCAATTTATATTTTTTAAGCCAATGATCGAAAAAATATTTTTCCCTCCAACAGGAAACTATCGACCAGAAGAGATGGCCTTATTTGAACCAATTTCTTTGCAAGATATGTGTATTCAAAATATTACTTCTTCGGTATCATGTATAGCTGAACTGTATAATGTAGAGTTGGATATTCATTGTATGCTTTTAAGAGATGTAATAGAGAAAGGTCGACGCTGTATTAATTTTGAAAATATCTTTCCCACAGAGAGCAGAGATTTATTTTGTGATGAAAGCTTAACTATATATGAAAGAATTCGATTTAATAAGTGGTTTTCTAAGCAATTTATTGCAGGGATTTTATTCGATGATGATGTTATGTTTCTCTTACGCCTAAAGATTGAACATATCACACTTATAAAACATATAATTATTCAAAATGATGAGTCTAATATTTATTTGAAAAGTTGTAACAAAAGTTTAGAATTATGGTTACAATGTCAATGTAAAATTTTCAGAAAATTAAATCATTTCTTATGTTTTAATGAAAGAGATACCCTTTCTTCTATGCGAAATGAAGATAATTGGTGTGAGATATGTCCTCAAAGTCCTCTGTATTCGATCTGCGACGACAGATTATGTTGCATTTCTTTTGGGGACTTGATACATAATTGCCCCCGAATTAACTATGATAATTGTTATAATAAGTGTTGCGGGGTTACTTAGAATAGTTGTCTTTCAATTTTCGAATTTAAAAATTCTGATACAATATTGTCATATTTTGATTGCTCATTTTTGATAAAACCCCATGTATGTTTTCGATGGAAAAGGGGAGAAATTTATGATGATTTATAGAAAAGGTTTTCTTTTATTTAGCTGCTCATTTTTATTTTTGATGTATAATGCCTTTAATTCGATTTATGTTTGTAACAGGAGTGTGAAATGTGGCTTTTGTTTTATTTAATTATTCATTGTATCATGCATGTAACATTTCATATGGTGTAATGTAATCCAGGATTACTTTTTCTTATATGTGAAAGGAAGGTAATGGGTTAGCCTAGCCCTGTGTATTTGATTAACGACGAAAGCTTTTTGATTTTCCAATGTTCTTTTAATTTTTGATGCAACTCGATTTATGTTTGTAACAGGAGTGTGTAATATGTCTTTTGATTTATTTGATCATTCATTGTATCATGCATACAGCATTTTGATTTGATAAGCAGGATGATTCTTTATTTTAAATGTTAATTTTATTTTTAAAAAACACGTTTGTATTAAGCTTTTGTAACCCTTCGTAAAAAAACAATAAAAAGTGACCACATTCAAGAAGTCCGGTTTTAGTATCTCCTTAGAGGATCGTATAATTTAATTCATTTCTTTAAGGCGGATGCTTTTTACCGGAAAAAAAGTGGAAGAGGAAAGAAAGAGATGCAAAGTAAGTGTAAAATTATGTTATTTATCTGGTATTTTAAATATTTTTTTTCATTTTATATAATTTAAATCCATAAAAAAATACATTTAAAGGTAAGAAATAATTTTATTTATCATATGTTTTGTGTTACACACAAGCGAGATGTAATTCTCGCACAAATATCATCATCATTCAAAATAGCAAAATAAGCAATTTTGTTTACACAGCTTTCATCTCTTGTACATTCAATTTCACATTCAATCGTTCTCGAAGAAACACAATCTAACATCCTATTGCATAATTTACTGCATACCGAAAAAAACAGCTACTTGCTTGGTTTTGAATATAAAGTTTTAGCGGTATCCATACTGTAGTTGCTGATGTTGCGGATCGTCAGCTTTATGAATATGTCTGACCACGTGCGCGTTTTCAAACTCTTCAGGTAACGAAGATTTCCTTTTCCGCTAGAGTTTTCATCGTAAACAGCATTACGAATGCAGTCGCTCAGGTTTATTTAAAAAAAGAAAAAAAAAATCTGAAATGTTTCAGATTTTAAATTACGTCCAAAGGGGCGTTTTTTAACATTTTGTGTGTTACCTTTCTTTATTAAATATCATGTTCCTCGCACTTAAACCATAAGATCCAGCGCAACAGCAATATCGCAAAATAGTTTTAAAACGAGCATATCTTTAGAATTTCCGATACAGAGACTCACGCGCTGGAGATAAAAATGTTTTTTCTGCACAACGTTGCCATTGCTCGCTTTGAAATCCTTGAGTTTGTTAATCAAAATTCGTCAAAGTTTTAAAAAATAGGAAATCGATCATAAAACAAATTTCAAATTTCAAATTTGGTCTTCCACATGCTCATATTCGTTGGAGGATTACGTTATTCAAAATTCGATGACTCTATGTACCGTTATTTATGACGGGTCTGTTTTCTTTCAGAGTGGACAGGACTGTTTTCGGAGTTTCCAGTGCAAATAGCCGTAACGTTCCATCGTCGACTTCTGAAGCGTTAGTGATGTTTTGCAGGAATAACACGCATATTTATCAAAGACACACAATTTTGTTTCTTGGCATGAAAAGCATGACAACAGCGGCGACGTTTGAATTTTTTTTTAAAAAATTCCCTAATAAAAATTTCATTTTTTTTCTTATCTTTCGTGCAGAGGTCCTTCAAAGAGTACCCTCTTACCATACAAAATAAAAAATAAAGAGCAAATTTTCCGCAGGATGTACTGGTATATCATCTTGAAAGCATATTTATTATAAAATGTTTTGTTAGCGTTGGTCATTAAAAAGTTTAAAATATTTTTGTTAGATGGAGCAAGACCATAACTGTCGAAGTAATATGCCGTGCTGTTTTTCTTAAAATATATCGAAATCCAGTGGCTCCCAGGTAAAGTATGCGGATCCGAATTCACTATAAATGAGGAGTAATGTCTCTTTCGTAAGGGTATGAAATCGGAAGGATATACACCTCCAAATGTTTTTTTTGATTCGACTGTCGCCACAGGCATATTGACACAGAGTTAAAGTATCCATTACCGCCTTTGTTCGAAATGAATATTTCTGTATATGCTTTTAAACACTTCTTCGTACACTTGATGTTTCTTTGATGGGAAAATTTCAATAATTTTTTCGGCAAAAGCGAGAAAGAATGCAATGCGCAGGTTCGCTATTTTATTGGAAAACATCATATCGCCTATACTTCGAATTACCTCCTCGCCTGCACCCGCCTCCTTAGCTAGTTCGATAATTTCATTTCCGTATATTTGCAAAACTTCGTCCATGATTTTTAATAATCTGTCGTGACTCCGCGTGACTTGTCTATTTCAATTATGTTCCTGTATTCAGCATAGACTATCAGGGTAACTGTTTCTGGCAAGGCCGCTGCAAATTTGATATCAATGGCTATGTTTCCGCTCTTATTTATGCTTACGTGGCTTTCATTAGATGCCATATCTGGAGTCAAATCAACGGCATATAATGTATACCCATCTTTGTATTCATCAAAGGAGATATTGTTGGGGCTTGAATGATATCGATTTAAATCTGTAAAGATGCTTAAATAACTTCGCCCATAAAATGTTTTTTTCGAAATTGGGCTGATAGGGTTTGGAAGGTATCATCTGTCCCCCATTTAATATGCATAGGTAGTTTAGGTTATAGTGATGAAATTTAAAAGGATTTCTGTTGATGCTTCCATTATAGGCGGCATTAGATACAAAACCTAGAATGAGACGTGTGGGTAGCTGACCAATAAAAGCGTTTGCTATAGTTGTCGATTGCAAACCGCTCGATATTGCAAAACTTTTTATGTCAATCCTACGAATGGGCATCTTAATAACTCCTTTTTCTAAAGCCTTTTCGTGTGCTATTAGGATGGAGGGAGCCACGCTGACTTTTCTCACGTATAGTTTTGCTAGCTGAATTCTAATTTTATAATTGTCGTTTGCCGACATCAAAGTGAAAACATCTTTATGCCTTTCCAGTTTAATGCGTACATTAACCCCGTTGACTAACAATTTCGGTTGAGTGGCCAAATCGAAGTGCAATGGTCCCACGAGGTCGAGGCTTTGGCTAAGCTTGCAACGATTTGCACGCGTTGTATAACCTTCGTTTTCGTCTCCCACAACATCATGCTTAGATGCAGTATCTTTTGCAAATAAGCCAGCACTCAGTAGATTATCTTGACCTGATTTGGAATAGAACAACAAACTTTCCAAAAGGGCTCTATAAGAATAATTCACTTGTGACGAAACCTGTTTATCATTTAAAAATATTGAACAGTCGGAAAACAATGTGTTTAAAATATAATTAACAGGTGCCACCACCCCGTCGGCGTCGGTGAGATTGGTATCGTTTTTTTTCGTTATTTTAAGTCGTGTGTGTATGTAGTATCGTGTATGCGCCAAATCCAATATATGGTCACCATTACGCATGTAAAATTCTATTGGGCGTCTTATCAGACAATGAAGATACGGGGTGGATTTCCACGAAGGAAGAGGAATCGATGCCCAGTTGTACTAAAACACCATTAAGAGATCCAATTCGCTTCTAAGGCATATTAACCCCCTGAGTTTCCCATTAATTTTATTTAAAAAATATGTAAAAATGATTGCTTTTGTCTTACTTTTTTTATACGCTTGCTCTTTGATTGACGATTTTTCTTGCGCTTTCTTTTTATACCACTTCCCCTCTGTAATTTTCAAAAATATCACTTCACTTTATTATTAGAGAAACCTCACGTCCTGCGAGCAGAGTCCTTAAATGACGATCCCGCTGCATCTGACAAGACGTTTTTGCATCAACTGTTTGCCCAAATAACGACCGGCTCTAAGTGCCAACGGCGTAATGTATCGGCGCAAATCTCCAAAAAACCCATAACCTCGTTGGTGAGGTATACCTTGAAAGTAAACACCACCGCCACCACCAACTTGAGCACAATAATAGGATTCGCACTCTTTCTGATTTAAGTGCATTTCTCTAAGGATGTTTTAAGAAAGTGAGAGGAAAGCTTGAAAAATCTTCAATTTATATAGTTTTCTTACGGCGAAAAGACAGGACTACAAATGTTTTTCCTCCCGTAAAGGTAATTTTTTTCCCGCTACTCGTTCTCAGTTCTATTTCTATCGTTTCCACATAGTGCTTTCGCAAAGGAAAATATATAGTTTTTTCATAATGCTTCACAATTTGATCATTTTTTTCATTCACGCAGGGAATAACCCTTAGCAGCGGAACATGCACATCTCCAACGTGATGTGATTCGATTAAATCGCTGTACACAAAAATTTCTGTAATGCCCCCGTCCAGTTCTAAAGGATAGTCGCTTATATATTTTCCGCTCTTGAAATGGGTGTTGACGAATCCCAGCATGTCTGCCAGCCCTTTCCCAAATGCCAGCTCCGATTCTGGAGGAACTTCTAAAAACACTTTTGAATTCGCTAATTGTCTTAAATGTACGTGTTGAAATTCGCGAAATAAAGTTTCCGGTGATTTATATACGCCTGCGCTGACATGCAAATGTAAAGTTTCTTTTTCAGTCATAGTTACTTCGGGATATCCTTTAATTATAAGTTCCACAGCTTCCCCCTCCTCCACAGTTAGGGGCAAAAGCACAGGAAACTTTCGCGTTTGCGAAATTATAAGGTTTTCGCGGACGCCGAGTATCCTTAAAAGGGAGGATGCTCTTTCTTGAGTAATATGCAGCTCCGTGTTTTCTGACACCTTTATTTCTAGTTGGGACTTCGTCTGATCGTAGGTGAAAGTGACAAAATTTTCCAATTTAAGATCTTGGATATTTTTTGCTACGTCGCCAAAGAGACCCCTAGATACATCTGCTTTTATTAAGGTTAACGGAATCAAATGCAGTTTCGTGCTAGAAGGGCTCCTATTTATGATTGAAAATAACTGATCTTTATTTTCAGCTATTGATCTGAATCTCATCACTTGAGATTTTTTAATAATAGTATCTTCATCTGGTAAGTAAAACATCTGTAACATTTTAGGAGCTTTTCTTTTAGAAATGTGTACTTCGAAACCATTTGCAAGAACCCAGCGAATACTCCTCCCTTCATGTTCTAGAACGAATTTCACAGCGTCCTCTCTACCGAGAATGGTACTAATTTTATCATTCAGTTTTGATAAAAATTCCTCTAGAGAAACATCTGCGTTTACCGAAACTAAAACGCCATAATTAAATGATAAAGTATGGCGTGAAAATTTAATAGGAATGCTTTTCTCCACATTCCTAGTTATTACATAGTCATTATTATACTCTCCCACATTATACCAATTTCGTGGAATAAAAATTTCAGTTAGACCTACTTCCCAAGAATCGTTCAATAACAGAGGAGAGGCGAGTTTTGTTCGATAAGATGATTGATTGTTTTGAGGGAAATACTG